TCTCAGGGAGTCCTCTAGTCTTAACTAGTCCAGTAGTCTGGAGTTTGGGAGAATTTGAATTCTGTCCCACACTTCTCTCCCATTCTATAAGGATCCATCTATTTGTGGCTCTGATCAGAACAGTTGCTATTATTGGTAGCCAGGCACCAGCTAGTTCTTCTAGTGTCAAGGTAGATAAGGCCATAGTTGTGTTAAATGTCATCCTGTATACTATTTGCCTCTCTGACTCTTTGGGTTCCTTCTTTCTCTTTTGCTCAGGACAAGTAGAGACTGACAAGTCTTATCTTAGATGGTCACATGTAAGCTTCTAAGACCTGACACTCTCACAACATTTGGATGTAGAACCTATACTTTTTGAACTATGTTAAGCCAGTTACCTCAGTAGTCTCACAAGACTATGGTATTAAGTCTTCAAATCCACAACTCAGTCTCATGAGGTATTTAGTTATGCCTGTGTCCTCTTTGTGGACATATATATGTATATATATATATATGGATATACATGCAAACACACACATATCCGTTTGTATATATGCCTACAGATAGTTCTACCTGTGTACATATTCATACTCATATACTTACATGCCTGTATACACATTTGTGTAGGCACACGTACATTTTTTATTGTTGTTCCAAAAATTATACTTACTATATCCTTTACCAAAGACATTCTTTTCTCTAGTGCAATTCTTAGTTACATTGTTTACCTTGAACAAGCTGTATGCACTTTACCCACATTCATCAAAAAATAACAAACAAATTTCTATTATCTTGACAGTACTTGTCTACTCATAAAAATGCAAACATATGTCTTTTTTGACTGACTTATTTCTCTCAGCATAAGTTCCTCCAGATTCATTCATGCTATATTTTGAATACCCATCATTATCCTTTGTTTGTGCAACATTCCATTGTACGTACGTAACACATTTTACTTATCCATTCATTAATTAATGGGCAGACATTTTATCATGATTTTTTAATAAAAGGATTACTATTGCTACTAATAAAAAACAGTAACACACATCACAGTAAGTAACATATACAACACTTACTATAGTAGCAGGTATTGCAAGAGTTTCACACAACATTGTTCCATAGATGAGGAAATGTTGGCTTCAGGAGTTAGGTAACTCGTCCAATGTTACACAGCAATTACAAAGTAGCGGAGTACAGTAGATTGAGAGGCTTTGCTGGTGCAGTAAAGTGCTTGGTTAAAGCCGACCAATGGCCGCTCCATGGCAAAGATGTGGCAGTCTGCTTCCCTGAAGATTACAGCCTTGGAAACCCTACACGGCAGTTCTGTGCCACCCTATCACATCACTATGAGTCAGAATTGACTTGGTGGCAATGAGATTTAGACTAGACTGATTAAGAGCATAAACTATGGAGTCAGACTATGAGGGTTCAAATTTTGGCTTTATTTTAAATGGTATATGACCATGTTGTTGTTATGTGCTGTCGAGTCAGACCCGACTCACAGCGACCTCTCCTTGGGTTTCCAAGGCAGTATCACTACGGAAGTAGATTGCCCCATCTTCCTTCCGAGGAATGGCCGGTGGATTTGAACCGCCAGGCTTCTGGTTAGCAGTCAAGTGCCTTAGACAATATGCTACCAGAGCTCCTGTATGACCATAGTAAAGTTAATTAATGTTTCTGAGCTGCTTTAGAATGCTCATGTAAATTAAATAAGAATAATAACATATTTACAGTATTTATAATAGTATTTAATAACCATCTGTTATTTTTGCTTACTGGATAGGTAGCAGCAAATGTGGGTGAAGGGCACACAGCTTGACCAAGATAAATGATGTAACTAAGAAGTACAGAAGAGAAAAGGATATCTTTGGTAAAGGATATAATAACATGAAATACAGAAAAATGTTATAAAAGTATTGTTGTTGTTATGTGCCCTCGAGTCGGATCCAACTCATAGCGACCCCTCCTTGGGTTCCCCTCCTTGGGTTTCCGAGGCGGCATCACTACTGAAGTAGATTGCCCAACCTTCCTTCCGAGGAGTGGCTGGTGGGTTTGAACAACCAGCCTTCTGGTTATCAGTCAACTGCTTTAGGCACTATACTACCAGAGCTCCTATAAAAGTATTAGTTATTACTAATTTTATTTCCTACTGGAAAATAAAGTCTGTAAGGACAAGGGTTTTTTCTAATCTGTTGTTTTCAGAGCAATGCTGGCCATAAAATAGATACCTAATAAATACTAGTTGGAAGAATGTAGCAAGTGAAGTGGTGGCACCAGGATTTGCACAAAGATGACCTGATCTAGTGCCTACACTCTCTCAAGCTACAATGGTTATAAACACATACTGGAAAAAAAATGTCCTGAGATAATCTTTAAACCTTAAACCAAAACATCCCCTGACATCTTCTGAAAACTAAACAACAGTTTAGCTTAGTTATTAAAAATGTCTGTGTTGACAAAAGAGAGAGAAAGCCTTCTGGAGCTGGCAACCTAAATTTGGACTTCTAGCTTCCTAAACTGTGATAGAATAAAATTTCTGTTTGCGAATGGGGAAAAAAAAAAAAAAATCTGCCTTGAGCACTATGCTATTTTAAGTTCTATCCATATGAGATCAAACTGACAACAGCAACTTAAAAAGGTTATATAGGAAGTTTAGAGGACAGTGAATTTATGGTATTGGGGGACAAACAACTCAGAAAAGGAGGTCGTGAGCATGGCTGCACAATGCGAAGAATGGAATCAATTTCACCGAATTCCAAGTAGAAATTGTTGAACTGGTGTATGTTATGCTATGTGTATTTTCAACAACAATAAAAATAAAACTAATTACTTAAAAAAATCACAATCTTGAGAAAGACCTTCATTTTTAAGACCTAAGAAGAGCAGCAGAACTAATCAATGAGACTGGGAAACAATGGTACAGAGGATAAAGGGCTGTGACAAGGTGGCCAAGCACTCCTTTCTATTTTTTAACATTATAGTTTTTCAAATAAAAGCTAATTTTTTAACCGGAAAAAAAAAAAAATACCATGGTTGCTCATTAAGAAAAACTTCAACTATTACAGAAATGCAGAAAATGGCAAAGAAATCTCTATACCCAATCCCCAGAAATCATCACTAAAATAGACATACATATGATAACTTATTTAGGTAGTCTCTTACAGATTATTTCAGTCCTATGTTATAAAAGTAAGGCTGCAAAAACATCCTCTTACATCCATCTTTGTGGATGTATGAATTTCTGTAAGATCACTTAGTAGAGGTAGACCTTCTGGGTCAGAGTATTAGAACACAAAGTACTATCAAACTCTTAAATCTCTGCCAGTTTAAATTTATACCCCCCTATGGGAGCTCTGGTAGCATAGTGCCTAAGGCACTTGACTGCTCACCAGAAGGCTGGCGGTTCAAACCCACCAGCCACTCCTCGG